AGAGAGAGAGAGAGAGAGAGAGAGAGAGAGAGAGAGAGAAAGAGAGAAAGAGAAAGAGCGTGACTTGGCGGGGTTGCAAGGGACGGGCAAGATGAAACGGAGGAGAAAGGTGTTGGATGCGAACACGTTGATCCGAGGTAGAGAGACGGTTCAAGGATCAATACACATGCACGCTCTCTGTCAGTGCACGCCGTCGAATCTGCCTTTCTCTTTCCCTCTTTCTCTCTCCTGTAGCGTCTCACCGAACCCTTTTCGTCTCGCTCCTTCCCTCTATCTCGTTCTCTCCCTCCTTCGCCTCGTTGACCCCAAATACCAACGCACGATTAAGCACTCGGCCGACGATTCTTTCGTGACCGGCGAGCGCAAAGAGGCGCGCGCGCGCGATATAAATGTCTATATACGCGCGAATGAAGATAACGACTGTGCTGATGGAGAAGAAAGATCGAGAAGCCGGTCAGCAGCGGCAAAGGTCGAGCAACGAATTTTCCTCCGTCCGATCACAGGAGGAAGTCACCGAGATAACCAGCGACGCTACTGATGGTATACGTATATTCGATCTAAACTGAATCAAGGTGTTCATTCTAGGTGTTCGGAAACTTTAGGTTGTTCGGAAAGTAATTTCGTTTTTTCTTATGAAAATGAAAGACGATTTTCAATCAGACGCGTTTCAAATGATCATGAACGGTCGAATTCGATCAATTTAATCTCTCAGCGATCTCACGAGTTGTTATTCGCCGGTTTGCGTCAATTAATGCCATTATTGTGTCTTCGTCAGCTTCAACTGGCCTTCCAGAACGTGGTGCATCTTCGACATCAAAATTGCCGGATCGAAATTTTGCAAACCAGTTTTGGCACTGGCGTTCTGTCAATACATCTTCTCCATACACATCGGATAATTTTTGTCTTGCTTGAACAGCATTTTTACCTTTTCGATAGTAAAAAAGTAAAATATGCCGAAAATGCTGCTTTTCACTTTTCATATTTGATAGGGCACCAACCAAAAACTACTGCGTAGAATCAATCGAACTTTTTTCACAAGCAAGCCTTGCTATATCAGCTGTCAAAGTATATAATGATTATGCGGCTTAAGTGTGAAGTTGGCTGTGAAAAAATACAATAAGTCCTCTGTTGGGAAAAAACGAAATTACTTTCCGAACAACCTAATATATTTATATGTGTATTAAAAGAAACGATTATTAGACCGCTTTTTTGCTAGGTTGGGAAGATAAGTGGGAAGATAAATTGGAGAAAATCCTCAATTATCGCAAGCAATCTCGCAAATAAATCCGTCGTCTAAAAGTCGCTCTGACTGATCTCGGTATCTTCTCCCATCTTGTATGAATGTCAAAGTACCCCCAAGTGGGAACGAGTCACGGTGAAAATGTCGTCGTCGACTACCTTCGTATCTCGCACCTGCCGCTGACAAGACGCCCAAGTATTCTCCGCTGCGATGGCGCAGGCCACCAGCAATGGTTTTTGCGCGCCATCGTCCGGTACAGCAGCAACCATCGGCAGCAACGCAACAGTTGTTATCGAGATCTCGTCGCAATAATTCGTCGCCAATCGCAATATATGCCAATCGCAATGGTTTTTGCGCGCCACGAACGCAAATAAATAATATGACGAGAGAGTGGGACAAATTATCGAAATAACGAGCGCAAGAAATGGATAAAAATATAAGCCGCGGGCTTGGACGAGCAAACATTGAGCGATTAGTAAAAGCTAAATACTGATTTCTTCCTTATCGTGTCGCAAACGTATGTAAATTGGATGATTTTATGGCATTATCGATCGTAGGCGCGTCTATTATAAATCGAAAGGAGAGAAAACAAAACGCATGAAAATTTACGAATTGTAATGAAATTATATACATATGTATATGTACGTGCGTCACATTTTTTTCAACTATTCTCACAGGATTCTTTGCGTTTTCAAACAACATAATTTGTTATAAGAATGTAAAATCTAGAAAAAGTATCTAAATAATGTTGCATACGATACTCTTTAAATAATAATTCTTTAGTCAATAATACATATTTTTTCTTAAACGCGATAAATAATTTATTTTTTAATATTTATTAAATACTTTTTCACATGTAGCCTCGTAAGAAATAAATAACAGCACAAAAAATATTTACAACAATGATAATTTGAGTTTGAAGCTGTGCGTAGGAAAGATTCAATTAATATAAGATATACAAAAGATATTAATACAATAAACATACACAATATATTCTTATTAAGGATAGCCACCTTTTATGGCTAAAGCAGTAAAAAATATGATCACATTAAATGAATATGGAATAAATGCAGGTACATATGTTTGAGGTGTACTAATTGTTGAATGTTGAATGCCATTCGTGTTTCGACTTGAGTTACGGATACCAA